CAAAATTCTCAACATCGCTAGTCATTAGGGAATTGCAAATTCAAATGACAAGGAAATAATACTAAAAATTTCAAAGTCTAAAATAAAATTAAAGACGAGCATACCTAGCTATTGACAAGAATATGGACCAACTTGAACTTACACCACCCAGTGACAATGTAAAATGGTATAATCACTTTGGAAAACTCTTTAAAAGTTCCATTTGCCACAAGACCTAGCCATTCCACACCTAGGTATTTATCCAATAGAAAGGAAAGCATATAGCCATACAAAGACTGGTACAACAGTACTTGTAATAATTAAATTTGTATTAGCCAAAAACAAGAAAAAGCAAAAATGTCCATCAATAGATGACGAACAAACTGCTCTATCCACATACTGGAATACTATTCCTCACTAAAAAGGAACTATTAGTAATTGTAATAACATGGCTTAATTTCAAATTATGCTAAGTCAAAGACCCAGATACCTCTCCCCAAAGTACATGTTGTATGACTTCATTATGTAAAATTCTAGAAAATGCAAATTAATCTATAGTGATAGAAAGCCTATCAGTGGTTGCCCAGGGAGGAAGAAGGATAGAGGAAGGGAGGGAGGGATTACAAAAACACCTGTGGCATCTTTTTGAGGGTAATAGATATACAGTTGACCCTTGAACACAAATTTGAATGTGAGTGTCCACTTATACACAGAATTTCTTACACCTCAGCCACCCCTGAGACAGCAAGACCAAGCCCTCCTCTTTCTACTCAGCCTAATCAAAGTGAAGATGCGGATGAACACCTTTATGATGGTCCACTTCCATTTAATGAATAGTAAATACATTTTCTGTTCCTTATGATTTTCTTAATAACATTTTCTTTCCTCTAGTTTATGTTACTGTAAGAATAAAGTACATAATACAAAATATGTGCTAAATAGACTGCTTATGTTATCTGTAAGGTATCCAGTCAATAACAGGCTATTAGTATTTAAGTTTTGGGGGGGTGTTCAAAATTATACATGGATTTTCGACTGCATGCATTGTTTAAGGGTCTATTCATTATTGCATGGGCAGTGGTCTGTTTACGGACCCAAATGCATGGCTTATCCAAGTCGTTTCAAATTCCGGACTTGTAGATTCACATTATCTCACAAGGAAAGCCTGACAGGAGCTGTGGTATAAATCCAAATGTCAATCTCTGGCCACATGGCTCATATAAAACTTGTTTTTGCCTTCCAGGGACCTACTTCAAGGACTCTGCACACAACAAAGCAGTGTAGCAGAATGCTTAACAATACACAGAACTAGCCTAGAATCCAGACACTAGCATCTTCAGCTGTGTAATTATAGGGAAGCTGTCTATGCTGTGTGAGGTTGAGTTTTCTCATCTGCAAAATGGGAATAATGGTACTTACCTCAGGGTGGTTGTGAGAACTGATTTCATCAACATAAAGCACTTAACACAGTACATGACACATTTTAAATGCTCAGCAAATGTTCTAAGTTATTATCTCCATTCCCCTTTCCTGTAGTTTCCTCACTCTTCCATCTACTGTATATGACCGTCACAGAACCTCATCCTGTTTCCTGACCCCTGTTCCAGACACCCAAAGCCCGTGTCTACTCAACACTTAAAATGTAGTCACTCGAAACTGACATGTGCTGCAAATTTAAAACATACCTGTTTTGAAAACTTACGAAAAAAAGTAAAATATTTCACGAATTTTTTTTTAACTTTAAAAAAATGTGGCTCCTAGTAAATTTTAAATTACATATGTATTTCACATTATACAGTCACCCTTCTGTAACCGTGGATTCTGCATCTATGGATACAACCAAATGTGGATAGACAATATTTGGGGAAAAAAACTGCATCTGTACTAAACACTGTAAAGACTTTTCTTGTCATTATTCCCCAAACAATACAGTATAACAATTCACATAAGATTTACATTGTATGAGTTATTATAAGTAATCTAGAGATGATTTAAAATACACAGGAGGATATGCATAGCTCATAAGGAAGCACTATACCATTTTATATCAGAGACTTGAGCATCCCTGTACTTTGGTATCCAAGGGAGGTCCTGGAACCAATCCTCTATGGGTATCAAGAGATGACTATATGTATTTCTAATGGACACTGCTGGTCTAAACAGACTAATAGTTCCAGGCAGTACCAGTTCCTCCCCTAAGTCAGTAGTCTAGTCTATCCAGCAAAGTCAACCTGTCATTACTTCCAAAAGTCTTGCAGGAACACAGCCTAGTCCTAACAGTCACTTCACAGCTGAATCTATTTACAAAATCCACCCAATGACTATCCACCACACTTAAATCCTTCCAATGACAAGAAACTCACCAACTCCCAAAGCAGCAACCCTTTTTTACCTTTGGATGACTCCTGAGAATTAGACAGTTCTTCCTTATACTCATGAAGATCTACCTCTCCAGAGGGCTGATCTTAGCCCTTTACCCTTTTGAGCCATTTAGAAAAGGCTCAAGAACAGGAAAAACTACCACTTGCAGACCGCTTAAAATGTACTGTGTAAGCTTTAGTTTACTGTAGCATTTAACCCTCACAGCAATGCAAGACGTAGGTACTGTTATCTCCATTTGGTTGATAATGGGGTCTATAGGACTGAGAAAGATAAAAATGATCTGGCTAGGGTACCATTCAGGAAGAGCCTATTTCAAACCAGAGCTGGCTGACTTCTAAACAGCTTCATTCAGCATTGCTTTTGTGGCTATGGTCTCAACATTGTTCTCTCTCCCAGTTATCTAGCCTACTAGCAGCTATGGGCTCAATCCAGAAGCAATCCTGCCCTGGCCAAAGCTGCCCTTACCTGTCTCAGCAGCTCCAAGGATGTCCAGTTTGTCACGGATGGCAGGTGCCAAGGTTAGGGCTTGGATTGGTGTGGGAGCAGAGAAGCCTAGAAAGCTGAGTGCTCGGAGAACCGGCCTGGGGACAAACAGGTCCTTCCAAGCTGACACATCTGCCTTCTGATCATGAACTTCGGGAATCCATGTTTTCGCTTTTCTGGGCACCTTAGCAGCAATGCTCTGAAAAGGCTCCATCCCTTTTCTCCCTTTCTTTTTCTTCTTTTTTGGAGCAGTTTGGACCAGGTTTCCTGACGTCATCTCCCCAACCTCTGGATCATGACAAACCATGCCCTCTTCTTCCTGGGTCTCCGGCTCAGAATCTTTGACTTCAAACTCTTTCTGGGTACTGGTTCCTTCAGTTGCTACAATTTTACTTTTCTTCAACTTCATCTTTTTCTTTGGTGAGCTAGACTCTCCCTCCTCCTCTTCTTCTGAAACAGCTTGTGCCTTTCTCTTGGGTGCCTCCTTTAAGAAGAGACTGGAGGGATTCTTGGCAGGGGAGACCAACTGGTAATCTGTCAATTCCTCAAAGCACACTAAATCATCCATCTGTCCATCTGCGAACATATTTGGGTCAATCTTCACTTCCTTCCATTTTCCCACAACTTTGATTCCCTTTGTCTGAAATTTGCCATAACTTGATAGCTTTGGCCTTGATTTTGTGTCTTTCAACTTCATGGTTGCTGAAAAGGAGATAAATGTTCTATTACATTGGTCTCTGCAACAAATATTTTCTAAGCAACTACGCCCTACAAAGAACTGAGGATACAAACATGCTCCCACCTCGAGAAGAACAAAGAAGGAAATACCACAGTACAGGCAGCTTTGCCTGGAACACAGGGTACACAAAGACAGATAAGCTAGACCTGGTTTGAATTCCAAATCCAACACTTGCTGTGTGCGACCTTGGATAACGCCACCCACTTCTATCTGAACTTCAGTGCTCCCATCTATAAAAAGGAGGGAGAGGACCTAACAATATCTAAGTTGTATATTTTATGTAAATAAAGAAAATTACGTAAAGCACGGAGGATAAAGCCTGCCACACATAAGTCATTCTGAAGGCAGAGTAAGAATCCGAGGAGATTTTATTGTGGGGACAGGAGAGGTGAGCTTTATTAAAAGCATTCTGCGCTTGCTTCCTTCCCAAGCCTTGCCTGAGAAAGTAAATGCCTGCTCCACCATCCTGGCCTTTGCCAAGCGTTTTAAAACCCACCCAGCGTTTTCATCACATTTTACGTGGCTTAATGGTCATTCAGGCCCAACTTGTTTGGTTGGAACTCGATCCAGGTTTTCCTATTCAGAAAGGCCAAGAAAGATAACAGATTCCGTGAAAATGACCAAGGCAAACCTTGGTTCAAATCCGGAGCCACCACTTGTCAGCTGTGGGTGTGCGGTGGACGTATTAATCTCTGAGTTTCTATTTCCTCGTCTGCACAATGGGGATAACGAGGACATTTGTCCCACAGGATCGTTATACGCCACTATGAAAAAGTGACGCACGTCAAAAACCGCTAAGCATGGCGCCTGGCGAGGAGAGCACGTTCGCTCACAGTGACCGCCGGACCCGCTGCGCCACGGCAAGAAACACGCGCGGTTCAATGAGGAGAGGGCGGGGGGTGCCACGCGAACCGCGCGAGGACACGGGGAGCGCTAAGCAGAGCAGACGGGCCTCTCTCCTCGTGACGCTGGTCCCGCGCGGCGCCCTCGCTTTGTCTCAGGCACGAACGGGCGCACGAAACTGGAGAACCGTGAAGCAGAGGTCGTCAGGACCAGATGCCCGCACAAGGAGCCCAAGGCGCGGGGGCCGTCGCACGCAGCTCGGTTGGACGGCCTGGGCCCGCGGCCGCCGTCTCTGGACCCGGGAAACCCAGCGGCCCAGAGAGACCCGCGATTAGGAACCCGGGTTCCTGGCCTCAGCCCCTCTCCGGAGTCGGCTCCAGCCCGGCTCGTTTTTGGTACTCACTCTGTGGAGACGCCACTGTAGCTCCTTGGTGGCGGGTCAAGCGCCTCAGAAGAGACCGCCGTACCTCAGCCGCAGCAGAGTCCGCAGTTCCGGGGCGGGACCTCCACGCGCGTACTCGAGCGTGCTGCGGAGGAAGTCCCGCCCCTGTGGCAAATGTAGCTACCTGATTGGCTGCCTTGAGGAACGCGGCCTGGCCGGTGGGAGAGCGGAGTTCGTCCACGGGCCTCTCCTCTTCCAGCTTTGCTCCTCCCAGCTTCGGAAAAGGCGGAGCAGGCGAAATTCTGTGTTCCCAAAGACTAGAGACTTTGCCGGTTCCTGCTCAGTAGCGTAAGTTTTCTTGTATTCTTGGTGTAGTTTTGTTACCGGCAAGGGGTCCCGATCCAGACCTCGAGAGAGGGTTCTTGGATCTTGCGCAAGAAAGAATTCAGGGCGAGTCCGCATAGCAAAGCAAAAGCAAGGTTATTAAGTAAAGTGGTGGAAGCGCAGCTACCCCATTGACAAGAGTAGGGCATTTACGAAAGTAAGGAGAGGAACGCGTCCATCCTAGGTACAGTGCTCGTAAATACCTAGGATAAAAAAAGATCACAGGGAGATGTGCTCTGCTACAAGAGTGACCTGTGATGAGTGTTCTTTGTATTGTAATTGTTTTGGGGCGCCATGAACTGTGCCCCTATAAGATGACAAACTTGATTGATAAATGTTGTGTGTGTTCTAATTCACTGACAGGCCGTTCCCTCTTCTTTCTCCGTTTCCTTGGGCCTCTCTATTCCCTGAGACACAACAGTATTGAAATTAGGTCAATCAATAACCCTGCAATGGGCCTCTAAGTGTTCAAGTGAAAGAAAGAGTCGTGCGTCTCTCACTTTAACTCAAAAACTAGAAATGGTTAAGCTTAGTGAGGAAGACATGTCAGAAGGCAAGATAGGCTGAAAGCTAAGTGGAAAGTTTGTACCAACAAGCCAGTTTGTAAATGCAAAGGAAAAGTTCTTGAAGGAAATTAAACATTTTATTCTAGTGAACACATAAATAATAAGAAAGTGAAACAGTTTATTGCCTATTTGAAGAAAATGTTAGTGGTTTGGATAGAAAATAAAACCAGCTACAACATCGCCTCAAACCAAAACTGAATCCAGAGCAAGGCCCTGATTCTATTCTATTCTATGATGGCTGAGAGAGGCAAGGAAGCTATAGAAGTTTGTAGCTAGAAGAGATTATTTCATGAGGCTTAAGGAAAAAAGCCATCTCCAGAGCATAAAAGGGTAAGATGAGACAGCAAGTGCTGATGGAGAAGCTGCAGCAAGTTATCCGGATCTAGCTAAGATCATTGATGAAGGTGGCCACTGAACAACAGATATTCAATGTAGACAAAACAGCCTTCTATTGGAAGAAGATGCTATCAAGGACTTTCATAGCTAGAAAGGTCAATGTCTGGCTTCAAAGGCCAGGCTCACTCTTTTGTTAGAGGCTAATGCAGATAGTGACTTTAAATTGAAGCCAGTGCTCGTTTACGTTCTATTATAAAAATCTTAGGTCTCTTAAAAGTTACCCTAAATGTAATCTGCCGGTGCTCTGTAAGTGGAATTACAAAGCCTGGATAACAGCACGTCTGTTCACAGCATGGTTTACTGAATATTTTAAGCCCACTGTTGAGGGCTACCGCTCAGAAAAAAAGATCCCTCTCAGAGTATCATTGCTGACTGAAAAAGTGCCTAGTCACCCAAGAGCTCTAATGGAGATGTATAAGGAGATGAATGTCGTTTTCATGTGTGCTAACACAAGATCCATTCTGCAGCCCACAGATCAAGAAGTAATTTTGCCTTTCAAGTCTTATTATTTAAGAAATACATTTTGTAGGGCTATAGCTGCCATAGATAGTTATTCTTCTGATGGATCTGGGAAAAGTAAATGGAAAACCTTCTGGAAAGGATTCACTATTCTATATATCATTAAGAACATTTGTGATTCATGGAAAGAGGTCAAAGTATCAAAATTAATAGGAGTTTGGAAGAAGTTGATTCCAACTCTCATTGATGACTTTGAAGAGTTTAAGACTTCAGTGAAGGAGGTAACTGCAGATGTATTTGGAAATAGCAAGAAAACTAAAATTAGAAGCGGAGCCTGAAGATAGGACTGAATTGTGGCAATCTCATGAGAAACTCGAATGGATGAGCAGTTCTTTCTAATGTATGACCAAAGAAAGTGGTTTCTTGAGATGGAAACTACTCCTGGTGAAGATGCTGGGAACACTGTTGAAATAACAATGAAGGATTTAGAATAGTTCATAAACTTAGTTGATAAAGCAATGGCAGGGTTTGAGAGGATTGACTACAATTTTGAACATTCTACTGTGGATAAAATGCTAGCAAACAGCATCACATGCTACAAGAAATCTTTCATGGAAGGAAGAGTCAATTGATGCAGCAAACTTCATTGTTGTCTTATTTTAAGAAACTGTCACAGCACCTCCCTTTTCAACAACCACCACCCTAATCAATCAGCTGATTGCAGAAAAAAAAAGAAAAACATATTATGACAGAGGGGGACACAAGACAAAATGTTAATAATTGGTGAATTATTGGTGCTAAAGTAAGGGTATGTGAGTGAGTGTTCATGGTACTATTCTTTCAGCTTTTTTGAGGTTTTAGACTTTTCAAAATAAAGAGCTGAGTAAATTATTTTGATTTTAAAATTATGAATTAAAAAGAAATTGGTTTAAGCCAGGTGTAGTGGTGCATCCCTGTAGTCCCAACGATCTAGGAGGATGAAGAGGGAGGATCACTTGGGCTCTGGAGTATGAGTCCACATGGGCAACATAGCAAGATATCATCTTTAAAAAAAAAAAGAAAAAGGAAAGAATTAGATTCTATTTTAATTTTTAAAAATAGGGGAGGGGGAGAGGCCAACCAAGAGCAAAATGATGGCAAAGGTTCCATTACAGTAGTTGGAATATAGGTGTTTTTTTCCTTCTTCTCAATATTCTAATTTTTAAAAATAGTTAAAACAAACTGTTTTAATGTTATTCTCATTTTATAGATGAGAAAACAGATGCAGAAAGATTAATTTGCCAGAGTCACACAGCTAATACTACAGAGCTCATACCTGACTCAGACCTGGCTTGGAGCTCCATAACGTTAACTGGGTGCAGTGGCTCACACCTGTAATTCCAGCACTTTGGGAGGCACAAAACAAGATAAAGAACATTTCCATCACCCCAGAAAATTCATTCATCCCCATTTCCAGTAATTTTTTGTCCCTACCAAGAATACAATTATACTTTAATTAAAAAATTAATTTGCAACTATTTCTTAAATGGGAACCATTCTGGCTCGCTGAGGCTTTTCAGTAAAAATAAGTTTTCATTTATTGTAAAAGTGACTTATGCCTGAGCCATTATAATTCATCTAGCACCAAAAGACATACATATGTATAAGCATTCTACATGGGTGAAACAGTTTGGATATTTGTCTCCACCCAAATCTTATAGTTGAATTGTAATCCCCAATGCTGGAGCTGGGGCCTGGTGGAAGGTGTTTGGATCATGGGGGCAGGTTCTTCATATATGGCTTGGGCCATCCCCTTTGTAATAAGTGAGCTCTCACTCTGAGTTCATGCAAGATCTGGTGGTTTAAAAGTGTGTGACACCTCCCCTCAACTCCCTCTGGCTCTTGCTTTCACCTTGTGATGTGCTTGCTCCCCTTCCACCTTCTGCCATGATTGTAAGCCTCCTGAGGCCTACCTAGCAGCTGAGCAGATGCCAGCACCATGCTTCTTGTAAAGCCTGCAGAACTGCGAGCCAATCAAACCTCTATTTTTAAATAAATTACCGAGTCTCAGATATTTCTTTATAGCAATGCAAGAATGGCCTAATATAATGAAGTCTTCCTTTACCACTGTTTCATAAGTTGCCTCTTTCACTCAACAATACCTAATGAACCATTCTCCATTGCCAATAAATATGAATCTATAACCAGGGATAGATCCAGGCTATTTCGGTACCTAAAGCTTACATAATTGGTGGGCACAAAGCTTAAACAAAGAGAGTTATAATACAAAATACCAGTAACACTACAATGTCACCCCAAACCAGGAGAAGTATGGCAGAGGGAAGCCAGATTGGAAAGCAATTAAAAGACAACAGCCTTAATCAGTTGCTCTTAGAAGAACTTACTTTTGCAAATAACAACAACAATAATGTGAACAATGGCTAGAGCTGCTCTTAGGGTCTTGGAAGGAGCCAGTGCAAGCAAGGGTCCCTGAACTCAGGCTTCTTTTGCTTCAGGGTAAAGCCATTTCTGCCTCTATCATCAGTGGCTATATATAATTCTTTATATGGAGGTATAAAGTTTTATTTATTTGGCCGGGCGAGTTTGCTCACACCTGTAAATCCAGCACTTTGGGAGGCTGAGGTGGGTGGATCACGAGGTCAGGAGTTCAAGATCAGCCTGACCAACATGATGAAACTCTGTCTCTACTAAAAGTACAAAAATTAGCTGGACATGGTGGCATGCACCTGTAATGCCAGCTATTTGGGAGGCTAAGGCAGGAGAATCACTTGAACCTGGTAGGTGGAGGTTGCAGTGAGCTGAGAGCATGCCACTGCACTCCAGCCTGGGTGACAGAATGAGACTCCATGTCAAAAAATAAAAGTTATTTATTCAGCTTTTGCTACTTTAAACTTTTGCTGTGTCAAACTAAATAACAAACTGAGAAAAGCCCCCTAAAAGAAAATGACATTGAGTCAAGGAGGATCCCAAGATGGCTGAATAAGAGGCAGCTCTGGAAAGCAGCTCCCAGCGAGAGAGACACAGAAGCTGAGTGGTCTCCACAATTCCAAATGAGGTACCAGTTTCATTTTGTGGGCCTGGTTGGACAGTGTGTATAAACCAAATAGGGCAAGCTGAGGCAAGGTGGGGCACTGCCCCACCCAGGAGGTGTGTGCAACCAACTGGAGGACGAGGGGATCTCCCACTCTGGGACTTCAGTTCGGATACAGCCCTCCACCCAAGCCCTCTACAACCCACGGAACAGAAGATCTTCACCAGACTGAAAAGCCTCAGTGAGCTGCCTGAACAGGGCAGAGTATCAACTTCGGCCAGCACTGGGGCTGTCAGCATAGATCTAAGCGGAAGCATTGGCTGACGTGAAAGCCAGAAAGCTGGCTGGATGGAGCCACCAGCCCCCCAGAAAGAAGGGGAACTGAAAATCAGGGAAACAGCCCATACGGCAGGACAGGTCCCCCCTGCACAAAGCCCAGCAGGCTAAAGACTCTCACTCCAGAGTTTCACACCCAGAATATCAGTTAGAGAGCAACCAGGAATGATCGAGCTCGGGGGTGGGGGGAAGGGCAGCCGCCATTGCAGAAGCTGGCCTAATTTTCCTGAGTAAATAAAGGACGCAGCAGCTCTACTGAATCCCTTTGAAATCTGGCACAAGACAAGGATGCCCTCTCTCACCACTTCTATTCAACATAGTATTGGAAGCTCTAGCCAGAGCAATCAAGCAAGAAAAAGAAATAAAGGGTATTCAGTTAGGAAAAGAGGAAGCCAAATTGTCTCTATTTGCAGATGACATGATTGTATATTTAGAAGACCCCATCGTCTCAGCCCAAAATCTCCTGAAACTGATAAGCAACTTCAGCAAAGTCTCAGGATACAAAATCAATGTGCAGAAATCACAAGCATTTCTATACACCAATAACAGACAAAAAGAGAGCCAAATCAGAAGTGAACTCCCATTCACAATTGCTACAAAGAGAATAAAATTACTAGGAATACAACTAACAAAGGATGTAAAGGACCTCTTCAAGGAGAACTACAACTCACTGCTCAATGAAATAAGAGAGGACACAAACAATGGAAAAACATTCCATGCTCATGGTTGGGAAGTATCAACATCTTGAAAATGGCCATACAGCTCAAAGTAATTTATAGATTCAGTGCTATCTCCATCAAGCTACCAATGACCTTCTTCACAGAACTGGAAAAGACCACTTCAAACTTCATATGGAACCAAAAGAGAGCCTGCATAACCAAAAGAATCCTAAGCAAAAAGAACAAAGCTGGAGGCATCATGTTGCCTGACTTCAAACTATACTACAAGGCCACAGTAATCAAAACAGCATGGTACTGGTACCAAAACAGAGACATTGATCGATGGAACAGAACAGAGGCTTCAGAAGCAATACCACACATCTACAATCATCTGATCTTTGACAAACCTGAGAAAAACAAGCAATGGGGAAAGGATTCCCTGCTTAATAAATGATGTTTGGAAAACTGGCTAACAGATTCCCTGTTTAATAAATGATGTTGGGAAAACTGGCTCGTAGAAAGCAGAAACTGGACCCCTTACTGACACCTTACACTCAAATTAACTCCAGATGGATTAAAGATCTAAACATAAGACCTAACACCATAAAAACCCTAAAAGAAAACCGAGGCAAAACCTTTCAGGACGATAGGCATAGGCAAGGACTTCATGGCTAAAACACTGAAAGCAATGGCAACGAAAGCCAAAATAGACAAATGGAATCTAATTAAACTGCACAGCTTCTGTACAGCAAAGGAAATAATCATTAGAGTGAACCAGCAACCAACAGAATGGGAAAAAATTTTTGCAATCTACCCATCTGACAAAGGGCTAATATTCAGAATCTACAAAGAACTAAAGCAGATTTACAAGAAAAAAATAAACTCATTCAAAAGTGGGTGAAGGATATAAATGGACACTTTACAAAACAAGACATCTATGAGGCCAAGAAACATATGAAAAAATGCTCATCATCACTGGTCATTAGAGAAATGGAAATCAAAACCACATTGAGATACCATCTCATGCCAGTTAGAATAGCAATTATTAAAAAATCTGGAGACAACAGATGCTGGAGAGGATGTGGAGAAATAGGAACACTTTTACACTGTTGGTGGAAGTGCAAATTAGTGCAACCATTGTGGAAGACAGTGTGGCGATTCCTCAAAGACCTAGAAATAGAAATAGCATTTGACCCAGCAATCCCATTACTGATATATGCCCAAAGAATTATAAATTGTTCTATTATAAAGACACATGTACACATATGTTCATTGCAGCACTGTTTACAATAGCAAAGACCTGGAACCAACCCAAATGTCCATCAACGATAGACTGGATAAAGAAAATGTGGCACATATACACCATGGAATACTACGCAGCCATAAAAAATGATGAGTTAGTGTCCTTCATAGGCACATGGATGAATCTGGAAACCATCATCCTCAGCAAACTGACACAAGATCAGAAAACCAAACACCACGTTATCACTCACAGGCAGATGTTGAACAATTAGAACACGTGGACACAGGGAGGGGAGCATCACATACTGCGGTCAGTTGGGGGGGGTAGGGGAGGGACAGCAGGGGAAGGGGAGGGTGGGGAGGGATAACGAGGGGAGAAATACCAGATATAGGTGATTGGGGGATGAAGGCAGCAAACCACCTTGCCATGTATGTACCTATGCAACAATCCTGCATGATCTGCACATGTACTCCAGAACCTAAAGTACAATTAAAAAAAAAAAAAGAAAATGACAGTCAATAATAAAATGTGAACAAATTACTGAATAACGTTACTAAAAACATCAGCAAGTGGCAGGAAGAGGACCTCTAAGCCTTTTGAACTAGACTAGAAACATAAAAGGACCTTTAAAAGCTGTCATTCCAGAAGATTTGATAGATTCTTTTGTCTCAAACATAGTTTGATATATAAATGAACTTATGTATAATATCATTATTCTCGAGGTAAATTTGTGGCATATATATAAAGAAAATGATATTTATTTGAGAATAGGACATTGCAGTGGGAAAATTCATGCCATAGTAAACTATGTACATATTCAAGGATGTAGAGGAAGACAAAGGAAAAGTGAAGACAATTATGTAATTGTTTTGAAATAACCATCTTTAGCTGCAAGAATTAATAGCAAGGGTGACACCAGTCCGAGGTTGGGCAGGCAGTTTCTGTGCAGATAAGCTCACAGAATTATTTTTTGTGTAAGATTGTGATGGCCTTTGTGCAAGATTGCAATTTTTGCAGATGATGGTTTTGTTCTCAGGCATACAAAAGCATTAGAACCCTCTCTTCATGGGCGTCCCCCACTCTGTGAGAGTTTGGGTGTTGTTTTTTTAAACACAAGCAACTCCATTTTGACTCTGACTGCTTTGATAGTGTCATCAAAAACACGGCGATCAATATTCGTGTGCAGATATTTGTGCACATCTCTGGTTCTTTTCTTGTGATGAGTTCAAAGAAGTAAAATTTCTGAACCAAATGAACTTTCACCACATGGTGTCAAATTGCTGACTAGAAAGTTTGGGTTAGAACACACCGTAACCAGCAGTGAATGAGAATCATTGTTCCTTGCCCCATGCAAACACTGCGTGTGCCAGTTATTTGCTTCCTGAGGCAGATCACAAGGACGCAGTCACTCAGCTCTGTTTCATACTCTGCTGTGAAACCTCAAGGATAGAAAGCTGATGACTCTATGCCCCTGGTTTCCCCATAAGCTGGTTCTTAAATGATCTGAATTGTGCCAAGCTGACTCCCCTGTGCAAGGATGGGAAAGTGGAAGGGACACGGGGGCTGTGCTTCTGCTTCTTCTACTGCCAAATATTGTAGTGGGGACTTGGTTTTCTGCAGTAGCAGAAGCAGAGTCCCAGAATCCAGTTCTTACCTTATTGTGTGAGATGCAGAAGTGGGGCGTCATTTTACTGGCATAGATGACCCAGAGCCAACAGGTGTGGCAATGGCTTCCCAATACCCCAGTTTTGTGATCATGGCACTGGCTGAAGCATTCCTGGTGGCCCACTTCTAGGGTGGGGCCCCATTCTGGGGGTGGGGCCATTCCTGTAACATTAGCCTAGACCCTCCTCCTCCAATCCTAGAACAATCTTATAGTCACCTAATTCCCTGTATCAAAACCCACTCTGCTTAAGTTGTCTGGAGTGACTTCTGTTATCTGCAACTGTACTCTGGCTAATAGATGCAGGTGACACACTTACAAAATGTTCCCTCCTATAAACAATTCTTTTACTATTAGTAAGATTGGCCATATTTTTAAATGTTCATTAGTCATGTGTAATTCTGTCATTTGGGAGTTCCTTTATAAAGGCAGTTCCTTTTAAAAATTGATTCATAAGAGAAACTGTCTTTGAGTTGGGGATATTAATTGTGCAAAGGTATTATTTTGTTTGTTTTGTTTTCTCCTCAGTAGGTCACCTGTCTCTTAACCTTCATGTTAAATCCATTTTTAACCAAGAGGGACTTTGTTCATGGTGCTATTTTTACTTTCATTTTTACAGGCAGGGTTTTGCTCTGTCGGCTAGGCTGGAATGCAGTGGTTGGGTCATGACCCACTGCAGCTGTTACTGGAAAGAGGTCCTGATCCAGATCCCAAGAGAGGGCTCTCGGTTATCACCCAAGAAAAAATTTGAGGTGAATCCATAAAGTGAGAGCAAATTTATTAAGAAAGTAAGGGAATAAAAGAATGGCTATTCCATTGTCAGAGCAGCAGCGTCGGCTGCTTGACTGATAATGCTTATACTTATTTCTTGATTATATGCTAAACAAGTGTATTATTAATGAGTTTTCGAGGAAAGGGATGGGCAGTTTTTGGAACTGAGGATTCCTTCCCCTTTTAGACTGTATAGGGTAACTTCCTGATGTTGCCATGGCATTTGTAAATGGTCATGGTGTTGCTGGGAGTGTCTTTAGCATGCTAATGCATTATAGTTAGTATATAATGAGCAATGAGGATGACCAGAGGTCACTCTCCTCACCATCTTGCTTTGGGTGAGTTTGGGCCATCTTGTTTACTGCATGCTATTTTATCAGCAAGGTCTTTGTGAACTGTATCTTGTGCCCATCTCCCATCTCTTCCTGTGACTAAGAATGCATAACCTCCTAGGAATGCAGCCCAGTAGGTCTCAGTACTTTACCCAGCTCCTATTCAAGATGAAGTCACTCTGGTTCAAATGCTTCTGACATATTTTCCCCCCTTCCTTTTACAAGGGACCTTAGGATTAAGGGTTGTAGGGGTATGTAGATCCATCTTCTGTAACTTCTTCAGGCTGAATAGGGGCAATGATTTTTCTGCCTAACTATTAGGGTCTCTTGTATTTAGGGTAGAGTGGAGCTCCGTCAGAAAGTATTGGTATGGCAAGGACCATTCATAACTCTTGAGTTCCATAAAAAGGTAATATCTGGAAGATTAATTAAGTGTTCAATTTAAGAAAACATTGAGTAAGCTCACTCTACATTTCTATACAAAGAGTACAACAGCAATATACTCCACAACAGTAAAGTAAAGTAAGCAAAATTATTCCAAGTAAACTAAATAAGAAGGCTTTCCAGGAACTGGGCAATTGTTGGAACCAAGCTGATATGGGGTCTCTAGCTGATTCCAATATGTGCCCAGAATTAGACTATTGATCTAGATTTTTACATTACCCATCCCCCTTGTTTCCTCTGAGCTGCAGGCAGAGATCACTGATTGGTTCACAGGAAAAAGCAGGGTCAGTTTAAATCGCAGACAAATATTCAAAAACAACTGATGAGACTAGAATTTAATAACAGGTGTACCATAGTTTTTGAAACACAACTTTTCTCTCTCCAGTCCTCATTTTTATTTAAAACATATCATAATCATGACAGATTTGGTTTATTATACTTGGCCTGATTATTTGTATACAGTGAAGTAAGAATGATTCTATTTCACATAGGCTTTTTAAATTGGCTTTGATGGAATTATCTTTCATAAAAGGAATCTCAGATAAGCCTTTTTTTTTTTTTTTTTTTAAGATGGAGTCTCGCTCTGTTGCCAGGCTAGAGTGCAGTGGAATGATCTTGGCTTACTGCAACCTCTGCCTCCTGGGTCCAAATAATTCTCCTGCCTCAGCCTCCCACGTAGCTGGGACTATAGGCATGTGCCACCGTGCCCAGCTAATTTTTGTATTTTTAGTAGAGATGGGGTTTCACCATGTTGGCCAGTATGGCCTCAATCTATTGACCTCATAATCTGACTGCCTTGTCTCCCAAAGTGCTGGGATTATAAGCGTGAGCCACTGCACCCAGCCAAGACTTTTTTAAAGCTGAGTCCAGCCATGGGTTGGTAACAAATACTTATGGATTTGGGTGAATTCTTCTTAAGAGATTTCAAGGTAAGTTGGGGCTTCCGGGCCCATCGGAAAGTGACATTCTTTGGTCAGGAACCCTGTACAGTGACTGTGTAGGCAAGGTATGAGGCTAGTTTTCCCAAGGGGCTTTTATTGGCTCTGTAAGTCAAGTTTCATTCCTTAAAGGAAAGTATATCATTACAGTCAAAGCCTTGGTAAAATAGCCATGGAGCCTAGTCTCCAATTGTGTCCAGTTGCAAAATAAAATGGATTCTTATTGTACTTACGCAGATAGCTATGTTGATGTAAATTAAGAATATACAGTTTCCAAATTCTGGAGAAATCAGGTAGAGAAGCAAATATACTCCAAATTTTGTTTACAGGAATATACTTTACTCAATTATCAAAAGTTGTAAATAGCTTAAAATAACAGTTTTTTGGCTCTGTAAAAGATCAGCAACGTTTTAAGCAAAAAGTCAAAAAGATTGTTTCAGACTTCTATTAGTTTAGTTCATGCAGTTAACTCCTGTTCTGTTTGATGCTCATGAACATTTCAGCTCTCCATAAAAGTCCTGAAAGATTTTCTCTATTATAATGTCACAATGTTCAAAGTTATCAAAAACCTGCTTTTAAAAGCATCTGTCAAAATCCTATAGCTAATTAAGGAGATAACAATTGCCTGTGGATGACAAAAAGTTTTGGAACGGCCACTATTACAGCCGCAATTGGCTAGGAATTTTGGTTCCTTCTATGGCATTCAACAATTTAATATAACAATTATAACCATTAATAATATACACTAAGTCATATGATGATTATATAAGTTTTCCATAATTTTGGAGGACATACCAATAACTTTAATTATACAGATACAGCCCAAAGAAAGCCAAACACCTCACTATTTAACCATGCTTCCTGTATGATTGTTATACCAAATAAGCCAGATATGTCATTTTTGAACTTTAGGAGACCTAATAGCTAAAAGATTAATTAGGAGATCAGAAGAAGACGTAATTTATAATTTGATTTTGGAAAGTTTGTCAAATATCAAAGATTTAAAACATTTGATATTATAAAACCAAACTGCAGGTCACCATAAGTCATTTACTTAGCTGAAACAATAACTCGGAATTTTTTAAAAGGCAAAACCTTCACTCATTAACAGAGGGAAGATGTAGCTTTCCAGACAATCTCTTTCCTTTCCCTTTTTTTGTCTATAGTTTATTCAAAAGGCAAAAAAAAATCTTTCATTTTTTAAAATATAACGTGAAAATTGGCCGGGTGTGGTGGCTCACGGCTGTAATCCCAGAACTTTGGGAGGCTGAGGTGGGTGGATTACCTGAGGTCAAGAGTTTGAGACCAGCCTGG